GGGTATTCTGGAAGGATGCGATCAGATGGGTCAATGGATTTTCTTCATCCAAACCTCCAGTGATCTCTTGTGATCTCCAGACAGGTCAAACAAATGTGCAAATTGTGAGGATGGATTGCCACGACTAACATAAAAACTAAAAACAATCCTTGCATTTGATGTAACGCCTTTCACATTGGGAGGCCTTCTCAAAGTTGTTCACAGGATTTACTGTAAAGCGTAGTGACTGTAGTTTTGTAGGCAAATGAGACTTTTTTATTAGATGCAGGATGGCGAGAGCCAAGACTTGGGGACTCCAGAGTGTGTGTAGGAACACGCTGCAGGCCAGCAGTGACATCGAGTCAAGTGATGTCATGGGTAGATCTCATCACATCTGTGTATATGGACATTATTGTTCCGCTGTAATTACCACAGGAACATATGTGGTTGAATGCAGGCTTTTCTATAGCAATGCAGTGGAAGGGAGTTTAAGCAGTCATTTTTTTCTCACACACACTGAAGGAGTGCAAATAGGGATTATGATAGGTGAACACGACAGCCCACAGTACAAGTGTCATTACATTTGCAATTATTTACATAGCAAAAGAGTGGATCATTTATCTTACCAGCCTGCTCGCCTCTCTGGGCATTGGAACACAACACTGCTGTTAAATTATGATGGATTCAAGTGAGACCCAGAAGATCAATGTGCGAGGGATCAATCGTCTCAGGATCCAGGGACTCTGACATGGTTCTGAATTTCAATGGTGCTTTAGAAAAAGGCGACAACCTTGATGAGGTTTTGAAATGGCATAACTTCAGCAGTGGCTGTTAGTCAGTGGTACACTTCCATTCTGATTGTGAATCCAGTCCTATTTCAATGCTGATCCAATCGCTTTTTTGCTCCTAACACATTGGAGACTCACAGTTCAGACTTATACTCCAGTGCAATACTGAAAGAGCAGCTGCATTGTCAAAGCTGCCGTCCTTTGAATGAAGCACTAACTAACTAAGCACTAAATAATGCACATTAAAGACCTCCGTAGCACTATCAATCTGAATAATTTTCCAGTGTCTTTGCCAAATATATGCCAGTAAACAATTGCTCATTTACATAAAGGCTAAGTGTAGGGTCTTGTTATACGCAAAATAGCTGCAAGGTTCAGCTATAAAATTTGTTAAACTCCTTTCTAGTGCAGTTAATGGACAACGGAGGTAATATGTTTTTTAGTAAACTTTGCCTGGCATGTCATCTGTCAATTTTGATTCCTCATTTGGTCTGTGGGCAGCCTGTTGGACCGAAGGGTTTAAGTGCCAAGCTGGCTGGAAGCACCACAGCTGGGATCCAGCCATGGAATACCAAACGGGATCTGGAAATGTTTGAGCCCTTCCATGTAGATCTTTAGGGGCTGGCTGATTGATTCTGATGCACTTTAAATCTGTTATAGAATTGCATTCTGTCAAACTGTCATCCATCTTTAACGTCCATTGCCATTGCTTCCCTATAACTATGCAACATTACTTTGCTTTGAGTTAAAGCCCCGAGCGCATGCACACACACATTGTTCAACCTGGAGATTGTAGATCCTGCAAACCGGTAGTCCAGCAACAAAATACACATCTTTTGCTAGCATTTTGTCAATGGATTTAGATCTTTTTTTTGTTGAAAGCTTTTCTGTTAAGGAACAATTTCTGAACTCGCTTTAAATGGCAGAAAACGCTGGAGCCAATATCAAGCTGGCATCAGATTGTTAACGCTCTTGCAACAAAGCTGCACAAATCAGAGCGCGTGGAAGAGGATGTAAAATTGATTGAAGGAGGCAGTGGAGGAGCACCACATCAGTCACGTCTTAAGATGAAGCTGCTCTTGGCAATCGATGTCTTCTCTCCCTCCTCCACATACCATCTGCATGTTAATCTCTTCGTAAAGTTGTTGACAAGCATTTAGCCTAAAATGGACAGTGCAGTATTTTTTTAATTCCCAAGCATAATGCATTTGCTCACCTCCTTGTTAAGCAAATAGTGTTCAGGATTTCAGTAAATCCTTTCTAACAGCTGTATTCCTCGCTAGTATTATTGTTATGCTCTCAGGCTTATTGCTGTCTGATAATATCTTACAGCCATAAGCACACTTTCTGTTCTCAGCTCTGGCTTCCATTTCACTTCCTCCAGTTCATTTTGATCGTATCCATTTTCTCGTGCACTTAGAGGTTTTGTGCAGAGCCTTTGTCTAAAACAGTCTGATCCCAAAGCTGAGCCCTCGCATCCACATTAAGTAATGAAGAAAACGGCTTCCAAATTAGGACACAATTTTGTAAAATCATACATTTGAAGACAAAATGGTCTCACAGGCTAAGACCAGGTGAAATTACAGGCCTAATGTTTGGCTCACCCAGAATTGAGCCTAAGATTTTTATTGAGACTGGACATGTGATCAATTGCAATAATACATGAGTCAAAACTCATTCCTTCAAGAAAGATCTTGGGTCAGACACACATCCAGCCCACAGCAAGCCAGCTCACCAACCAGTCATCCTCTCGTACACTTCAGTCAGAATAATTCCTGACCATTTCTGCCCTGGGATCAATGAGCACTGCCTTGTATTATTTTACCCACCAGTTATTAGGTTCAGGGATGTGATACGTGAAACAGCCTGATGTGGCTCAAATGTCCCCGGTTGGGGCAGTGACCAAATTACATCACATCTGTCACAGGCACAGAGCTTGTCATCTGCCACAGCCATCAACTGTTGCAAAGGCAATTCTGAGCAATGATACTGAGTGTCCGGATTATTTACCGTCATCTGTTTCCTTGCTTGCAATCAATTAACTCCAGTGCTCTAATAAATGGCCCAAAGTTATTATAAAATGTCGCTGAAATAGAATCAGACTGTAGGCTCGAGCTCCACAATAACATATCTCTGCTACCAGCCAAAGTCTCTATTGTGGACATTACAAGATGAGATTGACCCTCCAGGACACAGTAGAAGCTGCCACAGATGTGGTGGAGAGCCCAAGAAGAACCAGACAGCCCCCCCTCTCTCCCTCCTTTACTATTGGTAATTGAAGTTGACTGTAGGGCTGCCATCAATGGCAATTTCGTCTCACATGACAAATCTTGCATTTGATACAGCAATTCTTCCTGGGTTGAGATTTACTCTGTGTCCCATTTTGTTGGCCAAAGACACTGGGAGGCAAAAGATGCAGGAAAATGTGGTCAGCCGTTAGCCCTCCCTACTCATTCTGGACCGCAGTTATCATTATTTGACTGGTGGATATAATCCTAAATAATCCTTTAATGCATGCTTAATGGGTTAATTATTTTAACATGCTCAGCCATTTGGGCGTTACATACACAACAATTTATACTGAATGCTTGGAGGCAGTGTCTGTCTGGAGTCTCTAATGAATGAGTTTTGCTCCGGCTTATGGAACTCTGGAACCAACGAGAATCGCAAAACAAACACTAAAGAGCTCGGATTTTTCACAGCTCATTTCATTTCACTATATTCGTACTTGACGTTTCTGCGGGAAATGAAATGGGCCGTAAAGAATAAATGAATAGAATCTAAGCTTGAATACAATTGAACATTCAGGCATAAACCTCAGCGATTGCATGAAAATATAAGGCTGTCAAACAAGAGTCAAGGCTATTGATCAAAAGAAAGGCAGGATATACAGCGTTCTGAGCCGCTATCCTGCGTGAAGGGTGTTATATAAATAAATGTTGTAGCTATGGATAAACCACAGCTCTCACGGTTCCCATTTTAACTCTTATTGCCATTCAGGATTTCAATCTACTTCCTTGCCCTTCTCAGCCAGTGCAGCACTGCGGGTGGTCCCTTCACTGGATTATCTGGCTGACAGTAAGTGCTTTGGCAAGATGCGAATGTGGGTTTTGTTGCGCTCACCAGATAAGCACATGGCATTGCTTGAACCAACTGAAATCCTGACCAAAGCATTACATTCCAAGGAAGCAAATGACTCCCCCCACCCACCCTGCCATACGTAAAATTCACGTTAAAAGTCCAGTTTAAATTGTCCGCAAAGAAGCACTTCCAATTTAGCTGCTTCATGTCCCCCGCCCTCTCTGTTTCAATGTGGCTGAGCCTCCTCCACTTTGCCCCGCTCTCTAGAAATGCCTCCTAACATCCCTCCATCTCGCTCCTTCTCTCAATCTCTGATTTCAAAGCATCTAAAACATCTTCTCGTTGACTGGCCCTTTGGCCCTTAGAGTTTGACACGACTCTGCGACATTTAAATTTGAAAATGAAGTGATTGTAAAGAACTAAAACCAGCTGGAATTTTGGCACTACGTTTCAATCTGAGAGACTCCTGACGTAATCGGTCTGTCCCCTTTCAGTGTTCTCTCTCCCCTATGTAGAAGAAGTGCACTCTCTATGTGTAATGGGCACTTTCCTCACATGCTGCAGGAGTTGCATATTTCCGCACTGTGAGCTGATATCCAAAGTGATTGACTGACAATCCTTGTCTAACTTGCTATCCTGATGTTAATGCAGTATTACTACAGGGAAATGGGTTTCTGTGTCCTCTCAAAGAGACTGGTTCAGCAAAAAAAATAATTCAGTTCAAAGTTTTATAACAGGTTATCAGTTTCCAACTTGCAACAACTTTCTGGATAACTAGCTCCAAGCTTGGGCAGAACATTGCCTGCCCCAGACAAGGGGATTTCAGAAACCTAGTGGAGCAATTGGGGGAGGGAAAGGCAGCAAGAATATAGCATGTAACTCACCTCCTCTTCTGGAGAGATCTTTAACATTTACATTGTGCCAAAGAAATATAAATGAAATTTCATTCTATTTGATAACTTTGTCTGCTCCAGCCTCTGCCTCTCACCCCAGGCAACTAAGCCCCTTTTTCACGCCTTCATCATGCCTTCATACCTTGAGTTGGTCCACTTGTTGCTATCTCAGTAGTCCTGTTCTGAGCCAGGCTAAGTTGCAGTGCTCCGTGGCACTGTTGATGACAAACCAGCCAGCTTGGCTCACTGGCAAGCCTTGGAGGATCAAACCAGTCAAACAGCTGGGGTTCTTCCCACTTAGCTCCTGATAACCCTGCAAACCAAAGCTCTAACAGTTAGGATACTCGCTGGATAAGGAGCAGGGAACTTCAGTGTTTGCATAACAAGTTCAATAATTTCAGTAGTACATTTCATTCTGCACCTATCACTTATACAGAAGGTCATGATTTTAAGTCCTTTATGAAGACCTAAGCTCACAATCTGGCCTGATACTCCAATTAAGTATTGGTGGATGTCCCAATGTTGGAGGCATATCTCATTGCTGGCTGAGATGTTAAACTGCCCATTCAAGAAAAGCTTCTTTGAATAGCCTGATCAACAATTCTTCAAATTAATCTATCATTCACCTCATAGCTTGTCTGTGGTTAGTGTTAGCTCAAAATACCTTTCAAAAGCAGTCATTATAAGTGAGCGTAACAGAAACAGAGAGAGCTGGGAAAACTCCGCAGGTCAGGCAGCATCTATAGAACGTGGACCCGAAATGTTGACTCACTTTCCTTTCTCCGTAGATGCTGGCTGACCTGCCGAGTTTTCCCAGCTCCCTCTGTTTTTGTTTCAGATTCCCAGCATCTGCAGTATTTTGTGTTTTGTTCACTATAGGTGAGTGTAATTTATGTAAAATGCTTTGAGACATTTTGATATAAGGCACTATAAAAAGCCAAGTTCTTTCTTTAGTCCTCCAATACTGGTCTCAAGCAGATATTTATTTATCCAATTATGTTATGAAGGAGATAATCGATGCACACAAGATTATCCTAAGGTGTGATCTTTCGCTGCTTTCACAGGGAATTTATGAAATGATCTTACTTGATAAGAAAAGATGTCTAAAAAGGAATGCGATGCTCACCGATGGGGGAGTTCTTTGGCACAGCAGACAACCTGTAAGATAAGTGGAAAAAAATAGGATGTTAACACTGTGAACCACATCACTGTGAGAAAGTATCAAAACAGAAGGCCTGGAGGCGGCGAGTGGCACTGGCAGTCAGTGGGCTCGCTCTGAGTGATGCAGTGCACAAACATACACACTTCAAGGTGTGAGTTCCCCCTCCGCCCGCTCTGTGGACATGATTTCCCCTTCCCGCTTTATAGCATACTGCACAATGCACTCAGACTTTTATAAGAAATCACACAGCCTGATCCTCCAGGTCAATCACTTTGACACAGACAGTGCAATCAGTATTAGCTCTGTATTCCCCTTCCTTGTAAGCTATAGCTTTTTGGCTCAGATGCCACCCATTCCCCAGCACTGTATTAGAGTGAGTGAGACCAGCACTTACACACAAAGTTCTGATCCGTGTTAACGGTAGAGAGGGGTGAACCCATGGCAGCCAAGCGAAGTTGGTAAGAACTCACTGAAATCACTGGGTACCGTATCACCCATATCAATGGAATGAGCGTCATTCACTGAAATCAGTTAAATTGCTGTGCGCAATTGGCTGCCGCGTTCGCCCACAAATATACAGTCAATTCACTTTACAGTGTGTTCTGTGAAGCGCTTTGGGACGTCCTCCTGACGTGAAAAGCGCTATATCAAATGCAAGGATTATTATTATTATTCACTGAAATCAATGATATTCATCCAAATCAATGGAGTCATCAAGATTCACTAAAGAAAATCTGCTCGCCCAAATTAGTGAGACTTGCCAAGATAAATGCAATGTGTTATTATTCCTGCCAGCTGTTCTGCTGGATGTATTAACACACGGTACAATCATGTCTCAATTCAGAGGAACTGTATTGTACCCAAGTTGATAGTGCAGCACAATAGGGATGGATTGGGAGTGTATCAATGTGGCCTCTTGCTTTGTGTGGCTGTAACACATTATCCTCAGGATCAGGTGTGCAGCTTTGCGAATAGTGTACAATAACTCTTATTTAATCTTGTAGCAGTAAGTATCTCTAGCCAATTAAATCCACATCAGTCAGGCTGTGATGTGCCAGTGATTAAGATTAATCCGAGGGGTTGAGTAATGTTGAGCAGCTCTCAATAAGACTCTCTTATCAGTCATTGATGGCAAACTACAGCAGTGCATTTGATCACAAGGTAATGAAACATGAACAAGCAATGTAATAATAATAATCCATGCATTGATACAGCTCCTATAATGTTGAAACGTCTCAAAACACATCACATGGAAAATCTATCAACTGTAGTGATGGTGTATTTGTAAACGAACATGACAACCAATTTGTACCACAGTGATGTCCTACAAAGAGTCGTGAAGTGGATAACCAATTTTATCTAGGAATTATTGTCCAGGACACTGGGAGAAAGTCCCTTACCTCTTTAGTAGTGTTATGAGATTTTTCATATCAATCAGAACAGGCAGACTTCTCATCCAAAGAATGTCTCCTCCGACCATGCAGTGCTCTCCCAGCCAAGTCTGTGAGGTCAAGCCCGAAATCACTGTTAAACCATCTCATTAGGGTGTCACTGTAGAGTGAATGGCAACCATTTGAGACCGACACAGAAATCATGTTTTGCCTTCAAAGAAAATACCAGCCTTAATATAGTATTCAGTAACTGCTGAAATGAGCACTCAAGCTGGCATCAAATGATCAATAGGAATCGGTTTGAATGCATTTGAACCATTAACAAACCTGTAGGGAAGATGGGAAGTGTGAAACTGACATGTCAGCAAGGTTTCATGTTCGCTCCCTGCTCTGTGCGAGTTAGTTGATCTCAGTCAGGGTGCTACAATTGGACTCAGTGCCTGTTGGCTGGACAAGGGAAAACTCAGCCAGGGTTCCTACTGTAGATCTCTCTCACCGCTGGGAGGTACTTGTCTTTGATGGTTGGGTGTGGGCTCAGCTGCAATGCCGCTTATGGTTGAACAGCTTGAAATAAACAAAAAATAAAAGAACAGCTTTGATTCCAGACAGGCTGCAAAAATGTCCCTGATCCTTCTTGCTGGTGTCTGCAAACTGCCTTTCCATTGCACTCTTACTTTCTCAGTTAACCTCAACTGTCTTTTAGATGACTCCTGGTTGGTTCTCATTTAACCTGGGTCATCTCAGCTCACTAGGTTGCACTCTTGGCTTTGGGTCCAAAGGTTGTTGGTTCAAACTCCAATGTCCAGCCATCTCTGTTCCTTCAAGGCACAAGTGTGAGCCGTGACCCCATCTCCCCCACTCGCGCCCGATTCCATTGGTTCCCTATCCTTCAGAGGATCCAGTTCAAAATCCTGGTCCTCACATACAAAGCCCTCCATGGCCTCGCCCCACCCTACCTCTGCCACCTCCTAACCCCCTACCAACCCACCCGCTCCCTCCGCTCAGCCGACTCTGGCTGCTCCACGTCCCCCGACCCACGCGCCCACCATTGGCACTAGAGCTTTCAGCCACTCTGCTCCCAACCTCTGGAATTCCACCCCCCAATCACTCCGCCTCACCCCTTCTTATCCTCCTTTAAGACCCTCCTCTTCGACCATGCCATTGGCCACCCCCCTTCCCCTCCCCTCCCTCCCCCCCGACCCCAGCTCAGGTCTGACATGCTGTCACTGTCCAGGGCCTTGGGACGTCCTCCCGATGTGAAAGGCGCTATACAAATGTAATCTTGTTGTTGTTGTTGTTCATAACCTTAAAATTTAAGTTGACAGCCCAGTGCAGTATTTGATGGAGAAAATACAGCATAGTTGGAGATGCCGTCTTTCAGATCATATGTTGAACCAAAGTCTGAACTGACTGATATTAAAGATCTCATGACCTTACTAGATAAGGGAACTTCTCCCATAGTATCTCAGTCAACAAAATAAGATTTATTAGTCACTCACCTCAAGGCTGGTAGTGAGAACTGGTGTGTGCAAATAGCTGCCATTTCTGCTGATAAGCACAGTCACCACACTAAACTTGATGGGAATTAAGGTGTCAGTCTGACTCAGTTGGTAACGTTCTTGCCCCTGAGTCAGAAGGTTGTGGTTACAAACCCCACTTTGGAACGTGTCTGTGCTGACACTCCAATAGAATGCTGAGGGACTACTTCACGATCAGAGGTACTGACTGACCTTCAGCTGAAACGTTAAACCGAGATCCCTTCTGTTTATTACGTGAATATTAAAAACTTGCTGACGTTATTTGAAAACATGAAAGAATTTCTTCCGGTAGTCTGACCAACAACCTTCCAGATAAATCCGGTCAATCACTTAATGACTGTGTGAGACAAACTGACTGCTTCATTTCCCTCCACAGTCACTACACCTCACAGTAAATCCTTTGAAGCACTTTGAGATGTCTCAATGATGCATTAAGAAGCTACAGTATATCAAATGCAAGGGTTATTATTATTATTCCTCGTGAAGCACTTTGAGGTATTTTGGTACGACAAGGTTCATATTTGTGGCTGTGTGATTTCAAGTGAATCACTGTAAATTGTGAAACTCTTAGCGGATCCTTTAGAACTGCTGCCAATTTTTAACAACTTGTCCACATGACTTAACTTTGCTCACAGATGCTGTGTGCGAACTGTACTCAATGCTGAGACTGTAATGAACGTGAGCAGAAGAACCTTCTCCTGTTTCTTCACCAGGTGGCGCTGGGTCAGTCGCTCGTGGGGCACAATGACATGTGTGTACAACAGAGCTGTGGTGATGTAGACATGCGCTGTCTACAAAGAGCTGGTTACGTGTCTGCGGTTTATGTGATAGTGAAGAGTATTAAACAATCTGTTACCGTCCTGGTCAAAAGCACTTTGTAAATCAGAGTCGGGACTACAAATAGCATTACAGTGTTTGGGTGGATTTTAAAATCTTACACACTTGTTCTCTTTGTCAGCCTGCATTCGGTTGGAATTTAATGGAAGCGAAGAAAAGGTTACCTTGAATGACAAATAATTCAGAAATAGTCACAGCCCTCATTATGTATCAATTATGCCTCGGGCCAAGAGAGAAACAAACGATATGATAAAAGATTTGCAGGCTGTGCTATTGCTATTGCTGTGTTGCTGACAGTCAATACAGACACCACCCTGCTTGGCCAGGTCTGTTGACACTTTACTAACACACCTGTTCGTGGCAGATTGACAGATAGCAGAAAGATTATCATCTCAGGATTGAAAAATTATGCTGGAAAAGGTCAGAATACCTGTCAACTGTGGAGTTTTAAGTAATAATGCATTGAAGGTTGACTGGTTTGAAAGCCTGGTGCACGTCAGCTCATAGATCAATGAGAAGCTCACAGAAAATACCTTTGCTTTTATCCATCTTACTGCTGCCCAGGGCCTTTAGGATTTAATCACGTACAGTTACGTCTTTGGATCCTTGACTTCATGCAAGACCACACGATCGATAGCCCTCCTTCGGCCACCAAGATTTTCATTCCTTCCTTTTGCCAAAGATCTATTGCTGGGAGGCAATCCAATAGTCGCTGCCCCAATTCCCATCTCTGTCAATATCTCTGTCCATTCACAAGACCCTCTGGATGAGAAGAAATGGAAAACGTGATCTTAACATTCAATTCCGAATGTTTGAAAAGCTTCAACTCGAACGCACAACTTTAGAGGATTAAATCATTTGCTATCTCATGTGCAATCCCAGGAACCATACTGCTATCTGCAGATTTGATCTTAGGAACTCCATTTCTCTCATTGTTCTGTGAGGCACAGAGGATGGGGGTGGGGGGGGGGGGGGTTGTTGGGGGAAAGAGGTAAAGTCCATTTCTAAATACCTTTAGAGACATGGAAATTTCACCTGAATCTAAATTTACTGTATTTTTTGATTTTGCCCACAAAATATAGCCAATTCACTTTACAGTATTCTGTGAGGCGCTTTGAGACGCCTCAAAAACCGGATGAGGCGCCATATAAAAGTTACTTTTAAGAAACGCAGAAAACCAACTTCAAAATTAAGATGGAATTCAACAAATTGCCATATTCTGGATTGTCTAAAATACTAAGAGAATAGAGTGAACTTAGACCCCGGTGGGATTTCTCCCCACAGACTTTCTTTCCTAATGCTTAAATTGTCTGTGTGATTTGAATGCTTGTCAAACTTTCCCTTTGTAGCAAATGAATGGGGAAAAGTATTGGCAAAATTCTTTCGATGCCTGTTTAATTGCCTGAAAAACGCATGGAAAACGGCATTGAATGCATCATACTGAATACCCGGCGCCAGGAAAGGGAAAGTGTCTCGAGGCGCTCACCAGCCATGAAAGATTCCTCTAAATAATGTACACTGGAGCCAAAGTAGATTCCAGATGGACAAACATTAAAAATTTACAAACCACAGCCAAAGAAACATGGACTATTGAGCACAGCTTGAATTTTTCTGCTAATCCGATGCTCGGCTATGTCTGAGGCCTTGTACGACAGAGAATTCTATCAAGATAACAAGAAAAACTCACTTCACTTTTTGAGAAGTGGGATTTTAATGACTATCAGTACGGGCAGATGGATCTTAAATGTTCCATCAGAAGTACAGCATCTCTAACAAGGCGTTCCCCCAACACTGGAATGTCAGCCTAGACTATGAGCTCAAAGGTTTAATGTGAGACTTGAACTCACAACCTTCTAACCCAGAGGCAGGAGCCAGATTCATACCCAATAACAATATTCAATTCTGACCAGTTGTGTTTTCCAAATAACAAGAGTTCCATCAGGACTGGAGCAGCACTAATCCTTGGAGCATTCGATCACCAATGTCTACAATGCTCTGACTCTTCAATCCCTTAAAGGCATTCTGCTGTCCTGACAGTTTGAGCTTTTTTTGACATGACCAGACCACTTACACAAACGCAAGGACCTTGTTCTTTACTTGGAAACCAGACAGGTGGACCTCAATTGTCCTTTCCGATTCTGTACCTATCTCACGTAATTCTGTGTGGGTGGAATATAATTCACAGGCTCATCGAGGAGTGCTGTCCCAAGTGTTGTTGTTGAACATTGCCTTTGACTTAATTTAGTAATAAATATTTTATTATTTTGTTAAAACTTTAATGAGTTCTGTCTATTGTCAGCACCCTTCAATTCACACAGCCAGGCACAGATGTTGTGTCTTAGTGATTGCACAGAAAGTGGATGTAACTGCACATAGAATGACTGACCATATGCTTAAGAGAATTAGAGGGCATTTCAGGTCACTGCAGGAAAACAAAGCTTTAAAGATATATCGGAGCAAAGTTTTCCATATTTTTTACCCTGTGTGGAGAGAAATTCAACCTGGGTCTAGATTTACACTATTTATGTTGATTTTAAAGCAACCAGAATTTGGCAAATCTTACCTTTGAAGTTTTAATCCATTATCATACACGTTACTGAACAGCTCGGTTTGGTACCATTACACAGTGACACTCATGCTTGTAAAAGGCTTAGAACCACATTTTCCTGTCAAATGTTTAATTATCAGGGTCTAACCTTATCCCAAATCC